AAATTCATGTAGACCAGATCAAAAATATGTCTGCTGGTTGAATGTAGCCTATGAGCCTTCTGATTGTGATATTAGTTTTAAATGATAAAATACAGTGGTACCTCAGTTCACAAACTTAATTCTTTCCATGATTCTGGTCACAAACCAAATTAGAGGAGAACCAAATCAAATTTCCCCACAAGGTCAACACTGAACTAACCAGTGAATTTGATTCAGTAAAGACCAAGGTTGATATCCAAAGTGATAATATTATAAGCACAAATAGAGACGTGGAGGAGACCAAAAAAAGAATTAGAACTAGTATAACATTATGTATAGAACAATATACAATAACTAGTAATAATGGAAAGCATCACAGAAAGAGGATCAAGGTAGCTGAGAAAAGAGGGTTTAGGTAGATTTCACTGTAAAGTTTTTGTACCTTTAGAATTTGGGATTAGGCAACTATTAAATGGATATATTAATAGCTATTAAAATGAAGCAAAAACATAAAAACTTCCAATGTGATCCAAGTGCAGAATCCCAGAGATTTAAAAATGTGCTTTGCCCAAATTGTTCATTAGTCTTTCCTATGAGTAAAATTAGAAAGATGATTGCTGAGAAGATGGACTAGGGGATGGGAAATTGGTTGCAAGGCACTGTAATCTTTTTATGTCCTTCTATTGGTTTTTGTGTGTGAAATATATATCACATAATGCATGCTTCACCATTTCCAATGGCATTTAAATACATTAAATTCTTTTTTGTTACCGGGGATTGAAATCAGGACCTTGCATTTGCGAAGCAGGCGCTGTGCCACTGAGCTACATTCCCAGCCCCAAAATACATTAAATTCTGTAACCATCACTACTATACATCTGTAGAGCTTTTTCATGATTCCAAACTGACTCTCCCCACTAAACAATAACTCTCTATTGCCTCCTTTCCCTCTCAGCCCTGAGTACCCACTGCTACTTTCTGGAGTTATGAATTTGACAGATATATGCACTTCATATAAATTGAATCATACAGGGTTTGTTTTTTTGTGTCTGGATTACTTCAATTTGTGTAATATCTTCTTCCACACTCGTCCATGCTTTAGCATGGCTCACAATTCCATTCCATTTTATGTGTTTACAACATTTTATTTATCCATTCTTGCTTTAGTAGACATTTGGGTTATTTCTACCCTTTGGCTATTGTGAATCATGCTGCTTTGAATATGGATGTATAATCTATTCAAGTTCCAGTTTTCAAGTCTTTGCATATACCCAGAAGTAGAATTGGTGTATCAAAAAATAATTCTAAGTTTTTGAGGAAGCACCATACTGTTTTCAATAACATCTACCCCACTTTACATTTCCATAAGCAAATAACAAGGGTTCTAATTTCTCCACATCCAGGACACTAGTACTTCTCTTTTCTTCTTTTTAATGATAGACATCCTGGTAGATGTGAAGTAGTATCCCACTTTAATTTTGATTTGCATTTTCCTTTTAAACATCATTGGCCATTTCATTTTTATCTTTTTTGGATAAATATGTATTTAGATGCTTGCCCATTTTTAATCCGCTCATTTGGGTTTTATATTATTGAGTTACAGGAGTTCTCTATAAATTTTGGATACTAACCACTTCTCAGACATTTGATTTAGTATTTCCTACCATTCTGTAGGTGACTCTGTTGGTACCCTTTGATACATGTAAGTTTTAAATTTTGATAAAGTCCAATTTGTTTGTATTTTCTTTTGTTGCCTGCCTTTGGTGTCACTGTCAAGAAATTGCCAAAGCAATGTTGTTATAAAGCATTCCTCTGTGAGGGCTTTTATCTTCATAATGATGTTATAGGTCAGATAATCACAAAGATTTAGCTACTCCAAGTCATTAAGCTGAAATTCATACTTTCTGAAGATGTGGCCTGGCCAATGGAAGAATTTAGTCTCCCCAAGCCTATAGGAGAGTTGTCCATCTGAAATTAAGTTAATAAAACAATTTAGAATCTCTGCCTATGACTTACATTAATGATGTCAGTGAATTATAATTAAATACTATGGAAAGCAAGTTGGATATTAAGGAGTTTGTTCAGTGCTTTGCTCATATCACTCAGGGCAGTGGACACTGATTTTGAGGGGCAAATTAAGGTAGTTATTATTAGAGAACCGGTTTTTGAACCTCTGATGATTCTACTTAAAATTGACAATTGGTGGTCAATACTTAGTTAGCCTAGCACAGTAAAGGCATCTATTCAGGTGGCTCTGGCCACTGTAACTTGAGTCTCTTAGCTGGAAAATGAGGAGGAAATCTTGATCTTTCCGCAGTTTCATCTCTGTGTACAGTATGAAGTCCTGGAAGCTGCTCAGCTGGCCATAGAGTCCTTGAATGGTGTTGTGGTGGAAGGTATCTGCATCAAGGTAAGGTGGTCAGAGAAGGCTGAAAGCGGCCTTTCAGTCAGATCTGGCCTAGCGCAGCCTGTATCTACAGTGTTCCAAGACATACTGGAAACACTCTAGAAAGGTCCCGGCTTGTAACACTTTCCATTATGGAATGTCTTCAGCCAAGTCTGGCATCTCTTAGCAGTGACCTAAGACTTTCTTTTTTTGTTACAATCACCTTGGGCTGATTGAGTTCTTTATATCCCTTATCACTATTTAGGCCCCACCTGATTTGTTCTAGGTGGTCAACTTTCAGAGGGATCAGACTGTTGGATTTTAAAGTTTTTTGGGCAAGTAAGCAGAATTTCACTGGAGGTGGGAGGCAGTGAACTGAAGAGAATATATTTACATGAAAATATGTTTATATACTTATTAAGTCTAACTATAGTTCTGTGAGGCAATTATCACTAGCTTCCTTACAAATTAAGAAGCTGCAAATGTGCACAGACCTGAGGGTGAAAGCAGTGACTCTACCACTAACATCACCTTTTCTTGGTTAGGTGCAGAGGCCTGTGACAGAGCTTACCCTTGATTGTGACATACTTATGAAAGAGCTAGAACGAGATTCTGAGAACCGAAATACTATTTATGTGTCAGGAGTGAGTGAAGCCTTCAAAGAACACATGTTTCATGAGTGCAGCCACTTCCCAGGCCTGGAAGCTGTGTTCCTGCCTAAAGATCTTGAAAGTGGAAAGCAGAAAAAATATTGTTTCCTGAGTAAGTCTGCCACCCAGTGTGTCCCTGGAGGAGCTTGGGGATGGTGATAACAGAAGTCAGAGAAGAAAAAGGCTTACCAAATAAGCTCTCCTAGGGTGGATGAAGGCAGGAGTCCCTGATCTGGTCCTTCTCCTAGGGCCCTTGCTAGGTTCTAGCTTGCATGGTAATTGGCTTTCTTGGCTCTTAATAACAGAAGATGGGTACATATTCTTGCTTTCAGAATTCAGAACTTTTGGCAGTGCCCAGAGGGCCCTCAACATTCTCACAGGCAAGGATTGGAAGTTGAAAGGCAGGGCGGCCCTAACCCCCAGGCACCTCCACAAATGGCTCAGGGGCTTCTCACCAGAATCAAGAAGGCCTCCAGGGCTTTGAATGATATCTCCTCCTTTGGAGCAGCACATCTTGCAGGTGCGCGTGTGAGTGAATGGGTTTTTTCTGGTTAGAGGGGGAAGGGTGCTGTTGTAGTTTGCTGTCCCTAGACCCTGGACTTGTGTTTCTCGAGATCAGTCAGGAGAGTTCTGCTCAGTGACACTTGACCTTTCAGTTACTTTTTTCCACCCTGTCACCAGTCCTGTGTTGCTATCCACCTTTCTCTAGCCCTGGCCATGTTATTTTCTTTTAGCTCTCTCATTTCTACCCCTCTTATACTTGCTAAAATCTGGGTTTTAGTCTTCAAGGTTGCCTTCAGTGAACTTTGAAAGACTAATGTGGGAGTATGGAGAACTAGATAAATCTTAATTGATCTAATTCAGGGTTTGCCAAAGTGGTACATACACAAGATAAATTTTGGTTATCATAGATGGACTTTTTTTAGTTTTGCTTTCACTTTTATAGTTATAGACTTGTTTTTCTAAGGTCTATTAGAAAAATATTTAGACAAGGTTCAGGAAGTAATTGACTTGGTTTAAAGCAAAATATTAGAGGCACATGTAGAAATAGAGATAGAGTAGTTTAGGCTTGGAAAACCCTGTCCTAATCTCCCATGTTTAGCAGATGAGAAATAGCAGTATGAACCGGTGAGTTCCTTATCCAACATCACAAAGATACTTAATGCAGAAAGATACTTAATGCAGAGGCCAGACTACAGGCCTCATCAGTGATGTGGTTTCCCTAGCTTGGGGCCCATCTGAAGGAAAAGACAGCAGTCGTCCTTCTCTGAGGAGGTCCTGAATCACCCTGCAGCCTTCATTGTGATCTAGCTTTAAAGGACATTTGTCCAGAGCCTTTACTGAGCATCCCAAGGCCTTAGAGCCTGACAGAATGTTGCAGCCCCTCCAAATGTGAGCAGAGGGTGTTTTTGTTAAGTATTGACCCATGGCTTTGATTCCAGACTCTGAAGACAGACCATCCAAAGATAGCAGCCTGGTACTGGGGCCATAAGATTGGAAAGCTCTACCAGAATATGGACCCAGGTACCCTCTGCCTCATTCTGCTCCCAGGTTGCAAAAGGTAAGGACATTGATGGGCTGTTGCTCATGACTCTGGCCCCTAGACTTAAGCTGTTCTTGGAGAAAGGCCTTTTTGTTGGTGTCCAGGGATATAGTGAGGACTTACAGGAGTCATCTCTTAATTCTTAAATCTCTTAGTTCTAAAAGATAGGAATTATGTTCTAATTTTATAATTATATGGTTTTATATTACCACACTACTGATTCCTCAGACAACAGTGAATGCCAGTTTAAAACCAGAGGACTTATATTCTTCATTCTATCTGGGGTAAGAAATAGCTGCTTAACCTCACTTGAGGAAAAAAGGTCAGATATCCTAGGAGGCCCAGGCTTATGCATGATCGGGGTGTACCTCCTGATATCAGGAGTTTATTGCTTGCCTTCCCTTACCCTATCACTACTTTCGTTTACTTTTACTTTTAAGTCGTTTTGTTGATTGTAAATCTCTGATTACTAAAGTAGAACTCTTGGTCTAATTCCAGCTTCCTTTACCTATCTCTAATAGTTGAGACATTTTCCATTATAGGTTTCTAAAATGAGGGATTTGGAGTAAGCCAGTGATTTTCAAACTTTTAAAATAGTAAACCCTTTTCTTTAAAGAAAAAATTGTTGTTAATAGAGCTGGGCACATGCCTATAATCCCAGTGCTCAGGACCTGAGGCAGGAGAATTGCATGTTTGAGGCCAGCCTGGGCTACATAGTGATACTATGTCTCAAAAACCAAAAAAAAAAAGACCTTGAAGTCTGGATCAGATATACATTTCCTGTCATAAAGTCCTTGTAAAGTGCAATTGAGGGTCATTGGTGAGATGGTATACCTGGTGGGTAGCCTGAAGGTATTGCTTTCTCTCGCAGAAACAAGTATTAGATATTTATATTTGGAGGAAAGTTCTTAGATCAATATACTCTGAACAGTCTTATGGGTAAGCTGACAATTAAAAAGTGAAAACAAGCAAAATGTGACCAAAAGTTGCTAATAAAGCTTTTTGTTAAAGAGCCATCACCCTAGATAGCTCCTCAGTGCCAGTGTGTATGGAAGGAGTGGTACAGGGGATTAGTCTTCATGTTCTCCAGTAGAATGTTTACACTGCTGTGCTGTTTTGTAGATAAACTAAAAGGGAGCCAAAAGTACCCTCCTTCTAGAAATAGTATAAATATTCCATAGAAGGTAAAAGCTCAGGAAAGGGAGTATAGGAGTCAGGGAGCAGAAAAGGCTTAGGTTCTAACTGAGGCAAAGATCCTGAGAACAGTAACAATTCAGGAGAATAAGACCCTCTAGAAGCAACTCATCCTGTAGTGAAGAAACCCAGGTTACCTCTTTCTTTTAAAAGTCACACTATGAAAATAAAAACAGAGAATTAGAAAAAAAAAGTCATATGGTAGTTTCTGTCACCATATTGACTAAACTTAGTAGCAGCAGGCATTTTCCTAAGCTGTCAGCAGGTATATTACTGACTTCTCTGGCCTTGCCTGCAGCTTCTCCATGATGCTAGTGGACATTTGGGAAATGAGATACTCAGGAAAAAAGCTAAGCAAAGACAACAGAAGGTATCCTCAGCCAGGGCCCCGACTCAGCTCTTAATCCCTACATTTATGGTAGCTGCTGAAGTTGGAAATAGTAATAATCACTATAATTTATCAAACCTTTAGTAAATAGCAAATATTGTGCTGTGTGTTTTGGGTTGTGGTTGTTAGAGTACCTTTTTGATAAGGAAAGACTAAGTCTCAGCTTAAGCAACTTAAGATCACACAAGTAGCAAGTACAGAGTCAGATGTGAACCTTAATGATCTGACCCCGGAGCCACTCTGCCCTCAAAATTCCACTTTTCCATCCTGAAAGGCTAGTACTTACTAGTTTAAGGTCAGATCTCAGAGTCAGATTCTGTGTTTGTCTTTGCTTATTTCTGCCTGTCTACGTATCCCTTTAACTACTTACACAGAATTTTTTTTTTTGCTTTTGTTTTTTGAGACAGGGTCTCACTATGTAGTTGAAACTGACCTGGAACTCATTATGTAGCCCAGGCTGGTCTCAAAATCACAGCGATCCTCCTGCCTCAGCCTCCCAAGTGCTGGGATGACAGGTGTGCGCCACCACACCTGGCTACTTACACAAATATTCATGACAAAGTGCAGGGAATTAGCAGGTATTGGATGGTTCCTAAATTCTAAGTACTATGGCAGGTGTTTTGCAACATACATTATTAAATAAATATTTTGTAAAGATTTTCAAGTAGTGTTTGGCACATAGTAGGTGCTACAAGTGTTTAAGTAAAATGAACAAAGGACTAAGACTAACAGCAATTTATAAGGACTCTGAGGACACAGTTCCATTCTTGATGTCCTGGTTCTGTCACTAAACAGTTGTATGGCTGGAGCACATTATATATATATTATCTCTAAACCTGTTTATTTGAAATGGAGATGGAAGTTGTTCTTACATTACTAAACTGTTTTGAGGATTAAATGAAACAAGTGCTTAGGGCAATCCTTGGTGTATACTAAGAACTCAGTGGATGTGGAATGTTATTGTCTGTAGTTCTCTTGGAAAGCCTTGTGAAATAGTAATTTATAGTTTCAGTTGAAGAATGAGGATTGGATAAGATACACCTTATATCTCTGAGGTAGCAGAGGCAGAAGTTGAATCAGGCCTCTGGGACTAGTCTGTTCTTTCCACTGAGCCATCTTCACCAGACAGCTTTCCATACACTTGCTTGCCTCTTGCTCTGTGGTAGATACTCATGCTCGAATACTTACTCCTCTATCCTAGGAGTTTATAACCATTCATTCAACCCTATGGATAAAAACTTGTCTTCACTCCTCATTTATCACAGCATTCATGGATCACTCCCTGGCCTAGGACTGATGGGAATAAAAGACGAAGAGGAACGCCCCACCACAGGCATGGGTTTGTGAGTCTGGCCCCTGTTTTCCGCTTGTCATTTCTTATTTCTCATGGGCGGCTGCTAGGCCTCTATCCATCAGTCAGCTTCATGGAAACTCGGTGTACCAGCTAAGAATCTGCCATTTACATGTCATGGACAAATTTTCATTAAATGCCTAAAATTCAAGCATTCATCTTAAGGGAAGAAACCAGTTTTATTTTATTTTTGTCAGTAAGTTTATGTAGCACTCTTATGAAATGGGAATGACTTTTGGATGCAGAAAACAGCTGAATAAGCAGTTTGTTGAAGTTGTAATAGATATTTGAATAAAGCAAATTTCTGTAAGACAGACTGTTTTCTCATTGGCAGGTATCATAAAATTGAGGGGGGAAAGATAGACTGACCTGAAAATCTGCAAGTTCACCCGAGTGGAAGACTTTTAGCTTTTTACCAACCCCAGAAACCTCATTATTCCACATTTGAGAATCCCTCCTTCTTCAGAATGTGGCTGCAGTGCCACCCTTTACCAGTAGGTGCCTCCATCACACCAGCTCTTCCCTGGGGAACTGGAAACTGAACTCTAAAAGCCAGTGCTTTGCCTTTTAACCAGCTAACTGGTAACATTCTGTTGGAAAGGACGGGGAGCACAGGAGTACAATTCCAACACTGGTAGAGATGTAGAGATACTAGCTGTGCTTCAAAAAGGTGAACTAATTTATCATATAGTGTATATATCTCATCAAAAACCTTGCTCCATATTCAGACTTTATAATCTCTAGGATAATAATCACACAAAAATACATCTAAAGGTATCAGAGATTACAGTGGAATTCTAGGTAACTTTTTTTTTTTTTTGGTACCAGGGATAGAACTTGGACCCTTGTGCTTTACGAGGCAGGCAGTGGCACCACTGAGCTAAATCCCCAGCCTCTAGGTAACAATTTTTAAATGTGTGTGCGCACACACATATGCCCAGAGTGCCTAATGTTGAATCAGTTTACTCATTGTTGACTTGAATTACTTAACATCTGCTCTTGGGATAATGATCCTAGGATTCTAGTGATAATAAATGAAATTATGCATATATATAATTATGCACACATATATGCATGCACTATGCATTTTATAATTTGCTGTATGAAGCGGGGGAAGGCTACAGAATAGTATGTATAGTTTGAGTCTAATTTTATAGGAAAAATTTTACAAAGCTATTCTTAGGCTTGGAACTAAACCTAAAAGGCTGTTTCCCAAAATGTTAACAGTACTTCTCTCTGGCTAGTGTGATTGGCAAACTAGGTTTTGCCAAATGCTTGCCTGTGTGTAAGCTGGACTTAAAAGCAGGACATTGCTTTTATGATTAGAAAAACATTTAAAATTCTTCTTAAAATCAACTCTCAAGCCTGGCCATTTAAGGATGTAACAAGATCTGGCCATAAATGGAGCTAGCACTGAAGAACTTGATTTGGGATCAGGACACTGCAATTTGAAGCACCTCTGTCAGAAGTATAGTCTTCTGCCAGCTTCAGCTGCAAGGCCTTGAGAACAACTTGATATTGATGCTGGATTCCTCCCTGCCCAGTTGAGCTTCAGAACTGTGGGAGTTTAGTGTGTACTCTTGAGGCTCGTCCCAAGACAGTGTGTTGGATGTGGGCTGCAGCTTCAGCTCTGTGCCTGGGTATTCTTGGGCAAGTTCCTTACCCTTATGTGCTGTATTAATTTCTTTTTCCACAGCTGTACAAAATAAGGAAATACTTTTACAACCTTGGGAGAACTCATAAGATCTTTTGTGGAAAATGACAGAATTGTGGACTATGTAAGAGTTACTTTCCGTGTCAGAGCCTTTTTCCCCAACTTTACAGTGGGAGAATTTGTACCTCATTCATAAGGTTATTCTAAGAATTAGATTAGGGAAGCCCAGAACAAGTGCTCAATAGATGACAGGTATTTTACTAAGGATCATTTCTAAAGTGCAGAAGCACATTAGAGCTCCCAGAATTTAGAGCACTGTCCTGGCTCCCAAAACTAGCCAAGACCATTTCCTTCTGGGTGGGTGGGGCAGGAGGTTTCCCCAGGGCCCCAACTCCAGATCCCTGCAGAGATGGACCTGGACCACAAGGACTCTGAGGCCTCAGTCTGCACACACTGTTCTTTCAGGCCATGCTCCCACCTTTTGGAAGCCAAAGCTGCCAACTTGGCCTCTTGCAAAACACACATTCCATTCATAAGTGCGTTTTTGCATTTTTCCTCCCACACCCTTCTAGGCAGCCGATGCAGAGCTGCCAAGGCAGCTGCTGGAGAAGTGGTGTCTGGTTTAGGGGGAAAAGCCAACTCTTAAGAGTTCTTACAGAACTCTCGATTCAGGCTTTGAACATATTACTCCCATTTTCTGGCCTCCCTGCCAATCAGTAATGGACACTCGGCCGTGTTCATGTTCATTTCCTTTGTTGCCTTCTTTGTAGTTAACCTCTTCCCTATAAACAGGTTCCACCAATGAATAGAGGTTTGAAAAATTAAAATTACATCTAATCCTACCAGAGTCAATGACTGTCAGTACTTTACAAGTTCCTATCAAACTTTTTCCATCATTAGTCAAAAGCAGTTTTAAATACCCATGTAATATTGGGGGTGTCATGGTTTCTAAAACAAGACCCTGATGCTGACAGTTCCCAAGTGCTGTTGCCAATTATATCCTTGCATATACATAGTTGGCAGTTATTACTCTAGGTTCCTAAAGGAAATTATTGGATTAAAGAGTATTAACATTTACATTCCTTTAACTCCAGAAAGGTTTTTGCTGTTGGCCAGCATGGGTTTAATAATCTGCCAATTTGATAGGTTAAAGAAGTTTTCTTATACATCTAATTCCTGTTTATTTGAATAAGTTTTAAGATTAACATCCAACTTTTTTTTTTCCAGGAGCTTTTTTGCCAATTACTTTTTTCTTCAGTGAGTTGTCCATTTTCTTTTCATATTTTTTGGTGGGAAAACCAAGAACTGTTCCATACTGAAATTTTAAGATCTTAAGGATCAAGAAGTATCCATTTGTCAACTATTGGAAAAAATGTTTCTAGTTTGCTTAAAGGTTCCCCGCCACCATTAAAAGTCTCACTTTGTAGTGCAGGCTGGCTTTGAATTCAAGGCGATCCTCTTGCTTCAGCTTCCTAAGTGTGAGTACAAATGCTGTGATTACAGGCACGCTCCACCATGCCTGGTTTTAGTTTATTCTTTGGTGATTTTTTCCTACTTGATTTTGTTTAGAAAGTCCGGCCTGGTCCAGAGATAAACTTTTAAATACCCACTGGCAAGTTCATATACACCACTTGTGAACTTTATAGTTATGTACCTTCGTGTAAGGAAATTATTTTGGCGTATGGTGACTTTTCCCAAATATTTAATTTTACCTAATTACCTATCATTATTCACCCAATAAAGGAAGACACCTCTCTTTTTTTTTTTTTTTTGGTTTTTTGAGACAGGGTTTCAGTGTAGTTGAGAGTGACCTGGAACTCACTATGTAGCCCATGCTGGTCTCAAACTCACAGCAATCCTCCTGCCTCAACCTCCCGAGTGCTGGGATTACAGGTGTGTGCCACCACGCCCAGCAGATGCCTCTTTTTTATAAGTCTATGTATATACAAAAGCTGGGACCTACATTTCTGTCTCACAATAGTACACTCTTGTAGCTATTTTAATATACTAGCAATGGCTCACGAGTCCTACGAGGATGGGTTATAAGACACCAACAGTTAAAATGCTTTGCTGCTGACTGCATTAGTACTGTATTCCACTAGGACCTCCTCAGTACCTGTAAGCAGAGGCTGTAAGGTCAGAACATTACAAAGAATGCAAAACCCAGTTAGAAATTTATGCCTTTCATAAAATAGGGTGTATCTTCTGAAGTCCAAAGAAAGCAGAGGAAATGAAGTTTAGACAGCTTTCCTGACCCTTCCCAGTCAGATTTAACCCTTTCTAGTCTGGATCTAAACCCAGAGCTACAAGGTTGATTTCCAGGTGATTCTCCAACGCATTTGCTTCCGTAACTTGATAAGACAGGAGGGAAAAGGCTAGGACAGAGTGACTCTTCTGGACCCCTGACTACCTTCATTATATACTGTACTTTCTTGGCAGAAAGTCTCTTCTAGCCAGGCATGGTGGCACATGCCTGTAATACCAGTACTTGGGAGACTAAAGCAGGAGAATCATTGTGAGTTCAAGACCAGCCTGGGCTATATAGTGAGTTCCAGGGCCGTCTGAAGTACATAGTGAGACCCTGTCTCAAAATAAACAAACAAACAAACAAATAAATAAAAAGCCTATTCCACATGCAGTTAAGCTCATTTGTCATTGTGTGAAAGTTGCTTGCCTCTCATCCAATTGAAAATTGGATTTTAGCTATCTATAATTTCTGCAGCACTGTGGCAATAGCTGGAATAGCTTCAGATTTTTATATAACCACCCAAATCTGTATCTTCCACTTTGTTGTACCCCAAATCTGTAAGGCTGGGCTTGCTAACTCAGAAAGGCCAAAGCACAGAAGAAACAAGAACCAAGGTTAATTAGAAATAGTTCCGGAGACCTACTTTTTCAGAGAAAAAATTCACCCCCTATAGTTTCTTTCAGCCTCTACCTTGTTCATAGGGGGAAAAAAAATCCAGTTCATCAAGGAAAGCTTAGAAACTTCTCCTTAGCTAAACAATGTATCCACGACTCCTAAAACCTTTGCAACCAAAAAGAAAAAGCACATCTAACCTTTACCATTGTATTTACTTAATTTTAGGAGATAGCATATACATGAGGTTGGGAATCTTAGGGGAGCCCATCAGGGCCTCCATCCAAGAAATGAGTAAGGTGTCTGGTCAGTAACTTTGCTGAATGTGAACAATAGCTAGATGAAAGACGGTGGAAGGAGGCTAAGGGTTCTACATGATTTACCATATGAGAATCTTCTAGAATGTAAGAGGCAGAGGGGAACCTTAGGGATCATGTTCATCTCTCCCCCTCCCCATTTTGGCACAGAGAGAAGCTGAACCTGTAGGAGGGGTAGTGATGTGAAAGACTGAGCACCTCCATGCCTTAGGTACTTTATATTTTCTTTTAAATCTTTTTTTTGGGGTAGGGGATACCAGGGATCGAACTCAGGACCTTGTGCTTGCATCTTTTAAATCTTAACACAGTGGAAGGGTTCTTTCACTTTACAAATGAGTAAAAGAAAAACATGTTCACTAACTTGCCAATGATCATACAGCAGTGACACCAACAGTTAAAGCTCATTTCCTTTGCCTCAATCACTGCAAACTGATAATCTAAGGGCCATGCACCTAACACAGTGCTCAGATGCACTTTTTCAGTTATTAAAACTACTGAAGTAGTGGCCCCCTAAGGGTTCATTTGATGTTTGCCTACAAGTACTGAGACCCCAAAGGCCACCCATTTAAGTTTGGTCCAAACCAAATACCCATACTTAGAGCCTGGAGACTTTGTACCATCTGGATTATTTTCCAAAGCATAAGAACTGTTTTCCAGTACTGTCAGGTAAACAAAATTTATTAAATCCAACAGCAGGTAACCTTCCAAATAAAAAAAGACATCAGAAGAAAAAAATAACGTAGACATCAAAGACAAATGTGTGTAACAAGTCAATAAAAATATTTAAGGGGCCATTTGGAGAGTGCAACAGTGCAGTGAATACAAACAAAAGTATTAACTTTTGTCAAGTTTGTACAACCTCATGAAATAGACACACTGATCACAAAGTAAGAGGGATCCACAAAGGTGGAGGGTCACATGAGCAGTGGACTCATCACCTCAGCGGCTTAAGGCAGGATACGTGTAGGACCAATCCATCCAAGCCCCATTTGCCTATTGCTTCAAATTCCCTCTTTAAAACCTAGAATCATATTCATTAGTGCAACAGCTAAGAGCAGTTAACCACAGAATAAGGGCCAAAGTCAAAGGGAAGACAGTTCTTCCAGAGTAAATGTATGTGTTTGGGGGTGGGGGAACAGCAGCTGCTGAATGGCTTCCTTTGGCAATGCCCAAGATTTGAAAGTATAGGGAAGGATAGTGGGTGGTGGAAGTAGGTACCCGTGGAGAGCAGGCTGGCAGGAAGAAAGGGAGAATGTGATACCCCAGCACCTGAATTAGAAACAAAACTTGATGGTTCCTCATAGCTATTCCAACCCTCCTGACTTCTGTAAGCAGTGCTGAAGCATCAATTTATTTTGTCTTTAAAAAAGGGGGAAAATCCTGCCAATCTGGACTGACCATGTAGTCCCAGTCCAAAGCCAGATTTGCTGTAATTAAGCCTACCAGGGGAATAAACTCTAAATGGAGGATGGTAGGTTTCCCCTCTATATGACTTTAAAGGGACGGGGAGTAGAGGATCATGTCATGTTCTTAAATGAGTCCCAACTAACACATTCCAATAACGAATAGTCCTTTCAACCATTTAAACAAATACTGCTGGAGTCCTCCAAGGAAGACCTTTGTCAGTTACCAAGATGTTCAAATTCAAGTCTACCAAGGAAGACCTTTGTCAGTTACCAAGATATTCAAGTCATCATTAACCAAATACAACAGACACAAGAAAAGCAGCAAAGCAAGCAACTAAAGGAAAAACAATACAAAATAACAACAAATCCTAACAGCAGCTTTCTCCAAGTCATTATTAACTGTATGGTTCAATCTACTTTTGGGCTCTGCTGCACTGAAGACCCTAAGAAATACAGCAAATCAGTCCAAAATATAGGTGTTTTTGTTTGTAAACGTTTGGACAAGTTTTTATCCCAGTAACTTCCCACCATTGTGTAGTACAATTTGGCATTAGTATACAGTATATGAGGCCATCAAGTGAACTATGGGGTCCCAACACCCTACAGCTTCCAGACCTGAGGACTAAATTTTGGTATCAGCCTCTGGGCCATCAATACTGTTTTAGACTAATACTGTGTGCTTTAATCCTTTCTTCCTTTACAAGGCTGATTTGCACTCTTCTTTGAGAAGTTTTAATGTGTTTATGCCAGCTTGCACCACCAGTGGTACATGCGTGACTATCTCTTCCGTGGTAGGTACAAGGCTCCCAATAGGACAGTCATGCATGTACAGCCTTATCGTGAACATGTTAATACTGAAAATACTGCCTCATAAATTTCAATTGTATTTCTCTGAGCCTGAAAGTTTGGTGAAAACTTGAATCTTCAGCTAACTCTATCTAGAGTTTTTTTCTTCTTTTATAAGAAGGGTACCTGATGGGTTTCTGGGTCCAACTCACACACGTGGGCACATTTGGCAGGATGAGGGGAGAGCTACAGAGGCAACCAAAGCATAACAAAGTGTCGTTACAGGAGGTAAGGTTAAGAACAATACATTCAAATATGGCAAAGATGGGGAAAGTGACTGAAAGAAGCAACACTTCATCTCATACCAGCTTGCTAGTAAACTGCTAAAAAAAAAACAAAAAAACCCCACAGCTCACAAAGCCATTTGCCAAAACTAAGCCATTTGCCGACACATACTCAGCTTGTTACAGGCACTTTGATATTGCAGGTGTTCAAAATGGCATCCACATCTTGCCCTGATCCACATATCACCCCGGAGGAGCAATGCTGAAGGCTTACCAGAAAGGCAAGCATTTGGCCTCCACAGAATTTCTGCTCACTTAAGGAGTTAAACCCTTTTCTAGGTTGAGAGGAACAGGGGTGTTTCACTTCCCAGAAGTGTAAATACAACCCCCCCCCCACATCTCACCTTGGATCTCTTTGCAGAAAAACTGCTTTTCTGTGGTTATGAGTCAAGCACTGGCCCAGACTTACTGCAATTTGAAGTCCTTGCTCAGTATCAGGCCCTCAAACCTAGAAGTAAACTGGACGTAAGTTCCTGTCTGACTGTTCGTTATTCTGGCTTCTCAACAAATGGATCATTTAAAAAAAAAAAAAAATTGAGTGGCTCTTCTAAAACAGTTAAAAAACAAAATCCAGTAACAAAATACAGTCACCAATAAACCTGATGCATGGAATGCATACTTATAGGCTGGAGAAGGAGTCCATTTCCAATTCTTGAAGTCCTCAGTAGCCTCCTCTGACACACTTATCCTTCATTCAACCTCTATTCATTGCAGAATTGGGGAAAGCTAGGAGTTGAACTGGCTGGATGACAAGACAGTGTCTTTAAGAACTCAGTTTGGGTGACTTAACTACAGAAGAACCCATAGAACTTGCTGGGGGCCCTGGACCTTGGGTCTTATTTATTTAGGAAAAAAACAAGACTACTGTGGCCGATTTTAAAGTTACTGAACTCCCCAGCTGGAAGGAACAACTGTCAGGTTTAAAATTAACAACAAAAAAAATCAAATTCAAAGTATGTTTGCCATGAAAAACCATGACTGTCAAAATTCCTTAAATAATCATCTTTGTAAAGATGGGAGCCCAGACTAGTAAGGCTTCTAATGGAAGAACTCAACATGCAATTCTTGCTCAGGTTGAGAAATATACCTGGAAGGGGGCAAATTAGGGGAGGAAATTCCAAAAGTTTAATAGACAAACTCTCAATACCTCAAGAGTATAAATAGTTGTAAGTTTTTATTTAAAAGTTTCCCTTTTTAATCTGTTCCAAAGTGTTGGAAGCTGAACTGTACAATCTCTTGCCACCCACTCTTCCAGTATAGTTTTTTGAATATATAAATATATTCAATTAATATATATATGTATTAAATGGAAAAATAAGCAGACTTACTACTGAGCCAGGTAGAACCAGAATCAGCTTCTCAGGCCCTGGTGGCAGTTTGACCAAAGCTGGCCTTGTAGAGCGAGCACATGGAGGAGTCTGAGGAACTGGGCCCCTCTCCTGTGAGGAAAGGGCTGAGCAAATTCATATTCTCTTATAGTGAAAACGGTCCAGATTCAGATCTGAAAACCTCCATTATGATGTTCCCTGGCATTCTTCTTACACTTTATATATTGAAGGCAGCTCCCTCTTTTATGGCCAGTTTTAGCAGGCAAAGAAAAAGAATATAGATACATATATGTATATATATATATATATATATTTTATATAGGTAAAATATATACATATTTTATATATGTATATATACATATCTGGGGGTAGGGAAAGGACAAGGAGGGTCATGTAAACCTAAACAGTCATCACATTACCCCAAATGAGCCTGACATTAACAAAAAGATAATAAATAACTCCTAGGGGTTAAGTGATAACATGGGTGCAGCAAGAAGGGAAAGGGCACACATTTAACTATTAAATACACTTCGATATTTGTTTGGCAGAGTCCAGACTTCTGCACTTGCCAGACAAGTAAGCTGATGATACTCAAAGGAAAAAAAAAAATTCAAGCAGAGCTCCATACCACAGTTTTCTTTCAAGTTAGCTGGCCGGCAGGCAGAGTTTTCCGACCACTAGGAACAGAAACTTTGGCTCCAAGGCAAATGAAAGAAAAAAATATTTCCACTTAAAACATGAAAATACAGAAACTTCATCAAAGAAAGAAAAATATCAAAGAAGTCTACTTCCAGCAAAACTGAGGTAGCACTGCTTTCTCTGCATTCAATGCTTAAGTGGTTCTCAGTACAACGTGTTCTACAAAAACAACTGCTCACTTGACTGACAGGTGCAGCACGCTGATGGATAAACCCAACATGAAATGCAATAGATCAAAGAAGGAATGAGCAAGAAGTGAGGGAAATAGGGTTTTGGATAAATTAGCTTAAGGGGGTTGTCACCAGACCACAAATGCTCTTGACTGGCGTTGGCTCTCCAAGAGCTCCAAATTGTCTGGGAATTAATGCAACGTGGTTAAGAGTTAACACTGCTACTCAAATCTGTGTAAATCTTTAAAAATAATTATTACAACCTAAATTCAACCATGTAAACAGCACTACACACAGTACAGACCTGCCCTGAAAAACAATATGCAAAACTGAGATCTGGCACTGTATCATTTTGTAATGTTAAGTCAACCTAACAGTCCCACTATCCCCACCCGGCTCTACATTCTTCCCTACCAAAATCAAACAAAAACAAAACAAAATAAAAATAATCTAACTTTGTGCAAGAAATGGCAGGCTTATTCTAGCTGAAGGCAAAAAAAAAAGAAAAGAAAAGAAAAGAAAAGGAACAGCACATGTAGCCAGGTTCCAATATTTTAGAGGTTACCCCCAAAAGAAATAACCAAAATAACCAAAAAATGAAGAAAGTGCCTAAAACATGATACAGCATTTTAGAGCCCTTTCAGATACAAGGCAGAGAAAGGTGTGAAGTAGAAAATATCCGGATCTTCAGTAATTTCCACAAAGGTCCAATTCCTTGCTTGGCTGCAGAGCAGCGGGCAGATCCTTGCTGCTGCTCCGGGACAGAGCCACTAAGTTTGCTCCTCGGGACACAAGCCCTCGGGCCCTGAGCTGAGTGCACCTCTCCCTTCCCCTTCTCTTTTCCTTCGTTCCATTTCCCACTCCACAAAGGTATCAAAGAGACTTGGCCAGGCCTCATCTTCACTGTAGTTGCTGAGGTCAGGACCAATCACCTGAGTGAAGTTAAGGAACATGTTCCAAGTGTCCCGGGAGATGCCCTTGATCCCCGAGGGGTTCTCTGTTAAGAAGTTTAGCCACTGGTCCAACACGGGAGGATTGTTCTGGGTGAAGACTAGTTTCCACAGGGCAATGGCTATTTCTCGATGCAGTGACCGTTGCCCTTCTTCAGAGTCCAGGCCAAACTGAAATGTAAACCGGTAGAGATCCTTGAATTTATCCTCTTGTTTAGCTTCAGTCAAGAGGCTAGGGAACCGTGCACAGATCCCGTCAATGCTGTCTGCACTTATTGCTTTGCAGCCATCGAAAAACTCCTTCCTACAATGGGAAGGAAGGGGCACAATTAATAATTGCATCATTTAGTGAGAGGCAACTGATTACAGAGATTAAGAGCATGGTTCTGATGCCCTCAGGCCTGGACTGGAATTCTACCTCCTCTACTACACAGTCCTATGTCCTGTCTGTCACACAGTGAGAATACCACATTACTGTGTAGGGTTCCGTGAGGCTAAGTTAATAGATACAGTATTAACTCCTAACTGTGTTTGGTACATGGTGGGCAGTTCATAATGTAATGGTTTATTCATTTATTCACTCATCTTCCAAAGCTAAACTCGAGTCTCCTGCTCCGTGGCCTACGGAGTTCTGCTCCGCACAGTGACTAAACTACACTTTCTCCTCCCACTCTGATTCTCCATGCGTTCTTTTTGTATTTTTGGTGATTGCCAAGGGCGTCTTGGAGCCAAAGATTCTTGATGAACTTTGACAAATCCACCACCAGAGATCAGAGTTCTTTTATTAAAAAACAAAAATCACATTACATGTTTTTAACACCTGTACAACTCTTTCAGCCTACAACGTGGTCTCGAGAGGTGTCCTACAAACTGTTCAGCTGGGTCCCAAAAGCAGTTCTTATTCACAACCCTGTGTCCTCTGCAAGCCACACCTTAGAATCACCCCACTGTGCCCTCACCCACAAATAACCTCGACTGGGCATAGGACTGCGAGAGTATGCAGAGCTGCTGACCTAAGAACCAGAAGGAACAAGAGGCTTCATGGAATGACAGAGGCAAACCCCCAGAGGCCACTGTATTGGCACAGTCAGTGCCTTTGCACATGATAGATATATAATAAATACGGAGTGAGAATTCACAAGAAAAAAAAGGGTCTGAAATAGCAGTGGGGCTCAGCAGCAGAGCTTGGCAATATAGCTTATTTTGGACTGTTTCTCATTTAACTTCAGGAAAAGATGATTGGTGCCCAGATATTCACAAGCTGCCTGGTAATGCTACTTCAACTTTGACTTAAAATTTAAGCAAAGGCGCTGTTCTGTTAAAAGAAATGTGCAGTACACATCAGAAACAGGAAGCTTTATAAAAACAAAAGTGCCTGAGCTTGGCCCTGAGATTCTTATTCCATAGGTCTGGTATAGCACCAGGCATGAATTTTTTCAACCTTTAGAGTATTGTGTATGTGGGTGTGGGTGGGTTTTCCTTCTGTATCACAACCACAGCTTGGCTCAGAACATTTAAGCTTTAGAAACACCGGGAAAAACAAAAAACAAAACAAAAAACCCAAAAAAACATGCAAAGCCAAGCCAGTTCTAGCCTTACTGGCACCGCTGTCAATGGTGCTTGCTCTCCTCCACTATTCACCAGCTGACACCATGTATTTGTGACTAACCTGGTGAATTTGCACATGGTAGCAGCCTGGAACTTCCAAGCCAAGAGCAGCACTCGAAATTCCGTGGGGTCGACACACAGATCATTGCAAAAGCGCTCCATGCCTTCCTCCAAAATTGCATCCTCCCGCTCGTCCTTATAGCGCCTGAACAGTTCCTCCAACCTCTGCAAGGAGGACTCCTCAGCATTGGACTTGGACTCCCTCCCAGAGTCTCCCGAGGATGTCGGCAGCTGGCAGGCCTCAGTGGCAGCCTCTGCTTTCTTGGTCCCATTGACAAGAATATCTCCACCTGGCTTGGCACAGGGTGGCACCTGTTCCTCACGGTGGCCTGCCCCTCGCCTACTGTGTGACTTGCTGCCAGAGTCCCGGTCTCCGTTTTTGCTGCCCAGAGTCGATGAGGGATTCTTGCACTTGGTGACACACTGGCCCATGGTGGTGATGGCCTGACTTCTAGAGTGGCCCCCCCTGGGTCAGATGCCTTCGCTGCCACTGGCCCATGTACCTCAACATGCCATCAGCCAGAGGAGCCAGCCAACCTGGAAGGAAATGAGAAAGTGGTCACTCCTGGATAGGGGAGTGGGACATGAGAGCTGACCACTCCACTTCAGTGATCCAGGGTGCCACCGCAGCCCTTCCTTAGCTCCCTCATAAGGCAGCTCTGTAAGTTCCCCATGGAAAAGCAGCAGCTAGGGCACACAGAACCAATAAGGGAAATTCCTAAAATCCTTAAGGTAATATAGGTTACAAAGAGGCTGATTAACGTGCAGAATGCATCGCAGAGTATAGTTCCGACAGAAGCCATCCAGAGGAAAGGTCCTGCCAACTTGCAGAGAAGAAGGTTACATGGATGGATCTGTGTTAAGCTAAAAAGTACAAATATAAGGTTCATCTTCTAGTACCTAATGTTAACACTGATTTTTCTTTTTTTTTAAATTTAATTTTATCCCATTCCCCTCTCGAGCCTCCTTCCCTCCCTATGTACAAAAGCTTTATTTCTATTTTTTCCTTTTATTTTTACTTTTTCCATTGTTCCTTCCTTCCTTTCTCCCTCTCTCCTCCCTTGTTGCCTTCCCATTTGAACACTTTCATCCCATTACTCAACATCCACTCTACATCTTCAGATTTTCTTTTGTAAAAAGAGAATAGGGATTTAGCTCAGTGGCACTGTGCCTCCCCCCTAAGCACAAGGTCCTGAGTGGGATCCCCAGTACCCAAAGAAAGAAAGATGATTAGGATCTGGATGTGGTGGCACATGCCTTAATCCCAGCACTCAGGAGTCTGAGGCAGAAGGATTGCCATGAATTTGGGGCCAGCCTGGGCTACACAGTGACTTCAAGTCCAGCCTGAATTATAGAGCAAGACTCAGAAAACAAAACAAAAAACAAAGATGAATAGAAAGAACAAATGGTCTTATCCAAGACAAATATACAACCTCAAAATGGCCAAAAGGATTTGCAGTTGTGTGGAGACTACACGCAGGGACCTAGCCAAACAGCAAAGTGAAATTCATCTCTCACACCTCCAGATTCCTTCCTGACCCATCCTGTTAATGTCTTTTCTCTGCCCTACTCCACCCACCTGTACACCAAGCCTGTACTCCCAGCAGTTTCCTAATCAAGGAACATTTTCTTTTGTTCTCCCTTCAGGTCCAATGGCAAACCAAGTTCACACTAAATGGGATTGTCCTACAGGACATATAGCCACAGCCTCTCAAAGGGGTGTGTCTTCACTCTAAAAAGGATTGTGTCAGGTGCAGTGGCATAAGCCTGTAATCCTGACTACTGGGAGGCAGAGGTAGAAGGATCAAGAATTTCAGGCCAGCCTGGGCAACTTAGCAAGACCTTGACTCAAAAACCTAAAAAGGGCTGGGGTCTATAACTCAGTAGTAGAGCACTGTGGCATGAAGCTCTGGGTTCAGTCCCCAGTACCACAAAAAGGAGGTGGTTTGCCCCACACAATCTGCAGGAATATATGAAAAGCTCATCCTGGTGATTATGAATTGCTTATTGTAACCAAGAATTTTTTATATGAATTGCTAGAAATTTCTGAGCCACAGAGAAGGTAATTTCTCTGACTATATTGTCTATTCAGGACTTGCTTTCAACTAGTTTACTAGAAAACCCATTTACAATGTAGTTCTTACAAAATGCCAGCTGCTGGAATAATGACAGTCACTGAAATTACACTGTTAATAGAAATGTGGACCAGGAGCCAAAAGTATTGTAGTGAAAGCAGATACCAGACAAAATCAATGTCAGTACCATACGGGCCCTTCTCAGTTCTAGGGAGCTTTCACAGCCCTTCATGATGCAAACGTAAAGCTCTTAAGAGTCTGGCAGTGGGGTAAAGGGTGATTTTTTAAATGAAAGTTTGACACTTTAAGCTCTGCATAAAAAACTCGTTTCCTCCAAATAGTGCCTAGATAAACCAAGAGTTATCTTCAAGACAAATACTCTCCAAAGGTAAGCTCTGAGTGTACACCAAGTTTAAAATAATGCCAGAATCATTCCTGTAGTTACTGGAGGCTCCTATCAGGGTTGTATGTCTCGTTCTCCACCCTCGAGGAGAATGAATGACAAAAAGACTATCTATACATGCCCTCAAAAGATCTTCAGTTTAATTTGGCTTCAAAAACATCTGAAATCTTTAAAAGAGCTTTTGGTGTAAAAACAAGAGGCCCAGTAAGTTGTTTCAAAGTCTTTTCATGCTTTGAAGTATAACTAGGAGGTCATAAGCACAACCTATTCAAATTTCAAAAGGCAAGGGGTTAATTCTTAGAAGACCATCATACAAGGGAAGCAACTGTTTGAGCAGAATTATTTCAAAACAAGAAGGACTGTACCGTGTGGAGGGTCTGGTTTCCAGATTTGTGTTTCTAAAGACTGAAGTGCTGAAAGAAACAAAAGGCCCAAACTTACACAAACCCCACATGCTCACAGACTGGCAAGTCTAATTCCCATGCATGCTGACTCACCAGGGTTTGCTGCTCAGCTCCTGCTGCGGTGGGAGGGTGGGAGGGAGGGAGGCTCGGGTACCCAGTGAAGTAAGAGGTTTTCCTGGCCTCCACCTGACCCACCTACCCCAGACCACTCACCCCATCACCCACTGGACAGATGCTTCATTACAGCAGTTTCTTCAGAAGCCTGGCGCCAAGGACTGCAGGTAAGAACAGATGGGGCTCCCAAAGAGGCCGAAATCCCATTCACCCCACCCACCAGTCCTTCGTGCCAGAGCATCTCTTGATGACCTGACACAGCAGAACCAGCTTTTAACATGCTTGGCAGATGAGAAAAGGAGAGGAAAAATTAATGTTGACAGATGATCGATCAGCAAGTGCCAGAAGGTCTGGTCCTTTCTCCATTCTGATCCCTTTCTTTGAAGTGCCCTCATTCCAATTGTTGAAGCAAAGGGGCGGCCTCCAATCAGGTGAACCTATTTTCAGCTCTGATGATGAGAATGGCCCTTATAACTCTGCTGCCCAGTGGGTTTTGTGTCTACCCCTTTCCCTGGGAAAGAACTTTTGCTCCTAGCACTTTCTCCAATCTCCCAAACAGTGCCTTGCCTGGGTCCCAGAGGCTGGCAACTTCAAGTCATTTAAAGTTGAAGGTCTCCCTGAACTCACTAGTTGTTGGTTACTGGCTGACAATGGTACTTATCAATTATTGAGTATTTGATCTGGTACCAGGCACTTTAGGGACATTAACTCACACAGCCTCACCGCAATGCCATTTAAAGGCATAGAAATTGAGGCTCAATATAAAGTACATTACCCAGGTTCACATAACAACAGAGCCTGGTTATGTCTGGCTCAAGAAACATGACCTCTGTCATTGAGCTCCACTGTGGAGTCCACATCCCGCACAGCACCTTGGTAATGCAGACAAAGGCAGGCTTTGAGGTCAGCAAATCTTAACTATCAGCCACAAGAAAGAGAACGCATGGTCCATGCACAGTGCCCAAGGGTACTCTCTCTACCCATTGCCCTCCTCCAGGGTATGCCAGGCCAGTCAGCCCTACTACCAGGATCCCAATAGGAAGGATGTCCTCGGGTGCTAGAATCAGTCTAGCTACCGTACACTTACTGTGATGTTTTAGTTCACCAACATGGCAACAACTCCATCCCTGAAAGTGAAGCTCAACTCTTGCCATTGGCTTAAGTGTTTGACCCTAAAAACCTGAATTTTCTAAATCCGAATTTTCAAAATGGTACCTGCCTCTAGAGCTGTTGTAGGGATTCAGTCAGGAAATGCAGATAAAGGGTACATGGCACACATCATCTCCCTCACAAAATAGCAGAGTAACGGACAGTCTGATTAGCCTGTTGAGAGCCTCAACTTCTCCCATCTGAACAGTGGGATCCAGGACTATTTCCCCAGGCCCAGACAAGACTCCTCCCCTGCCTTGGGTCACTGCATTTGTTGGGTCTGGTTTAGAAACCATCTCATACCACAGCACTGACCCTTACTCAACAGCACCCCTGCCTGGAAACACCTGAAGGAGCAGATTCTCCAAAGGACAGGATTTCCCTGTAATTGATCCTCAATAAAATCAAGCTGAATATCTGCTCTACCTGGTGAATACTTTAAATTTCTGGTCACATGCTGTCCCTAACCTGAGGTGAGCTTTCTGCCTGTTCCCAACAACTTTCCCTTTCCACTAGTCTAGCTCTGTAGGTCTGCAAAAGACACAATTCCCAGCTTTTTGCTCAGTTACGCTCTTTAATGGAAGTGTCTGCCTGGCCAGTCCTCTTTGTCACTGCAATCTCTCAAGAGATGGCAGTAAAATCAGCTAATCCATAGCTGTTTTCAGAAATAACAGCATTAGTATCAATAAGTATCACTTTATATTGTTAATACATTATGGTAGCTATATATAAACATAACTCTGTGAAGTAACTACCATCAATTACAGGAGAATAAATGGAGGCACATGAGATCAAAAAACCTAGCTAGGAAGGGGAAAAAACAGAAGTACAGAAATTAAAGAGGATGAGTTCAGATAAACCTGTATTTGAATCATGGGGATTGCCCCAACTAACTGTAAATATCAGCAACTCATGCTGCTGTACCTTAAAGGGCAGTTGGGAGATAAATAAGATGGTCATGTAAAATGCTCTGCTCAGTACCTGGTTCACAGAAAGCTCTTAGTGTTAGCCTGGATAATAGTTGTTGTTACTATTGTTATCACAATGTTGGTGACAGAAGCAAGCTTCCCTTTTCCAGGGAAGAGTGCTCTTTTCAGGAGCCAGCCCAGACCTGCCATGTGTTTGTGCAGTGAGTGACTCTGCTCTCCTGCCTCAGGTAAGGGACACAAATGGGTTAGATACAGCCAAGGTCAAGGAGGAGTGGGGAGAAAGGAAAAGAAAAGAAAAAGGGTAAAGGGGGAAACACCCACACACAAACCAGGGAAACCCCTTCTAACCAGTGATAGTTTTGAATGTTTACCTGAAAGAACAAAGAGAGCAACTCTGCCCAGTGCTGCTCTGCTTATGTTGGGTCAAGATCAGCCTACAGCATTCCTTCCTCAGTCTCAGCTC